GCATTAAAGCGTTGTTTGTGTTTTGAATCTCAGTCTCAAAGTCAGTTCTTTATTCTAACTGTAAACTTCCTCGAGTTAGTGACTTGTGTGCTACACTCGCGACTGTGAACCTGGAGTTTCAATAAATCTATTATTAACTAGATTAAGTCGAACTCCAAACGACTAGCCTGCACGGTGGTCCACGTTTACATGAACATTGTGTGAAATTTGAGTCTTTTAGAAGCGTTTCATTTATATACATGATAAACAAGATTGGGCTAAGTCCTTGTGGGTCTCGGGGCGAAGATATCCGAGAAGATACCTTCCACGTTTACTCTGGTGCTCCTATCTTCCAGAAAGTCTGATAATCAGCGAATAATTTCACTTAGAAGTCCCATTTTGGACAATTTATAGACCGTTGTGCCAGATTTTGAGGAATCAAAGTCGAGGAAACATCTGACTGTGCAGTGGTTTATATTAAAGCTGTATATTATTTCCTCTGTTAATCTAATTAAGTAATCAGGTATTTTCTAAAGCCATTTTGAAGGTAATTCTAGATAAGTGAGTAATCTATTGTTTAGTATTTTTTCTAAAAAATTTTCTATACAGCTGGTTAGACTGATAGTTTCCTGGGTTATTCACTGGTTTACCCTCCTTTGGAAATATAAGAACATCAGCTCGTTTCCAAATGGTCTGTATATAGCCTGATTTAATAGATAAATTAAATTTTACTGCTAGTTGCTTGTACAGTCTCAGAGATCCCTTTTTTTTATCAGTGTGTTTTGTATTTTCTCTTTATTTTTGAGTGTTTTCACCTTGCTTAGGACTTCTGTTGTTGTGATTGGTTTTATCAATTGTTGTTGATGAGTTGTTGGCTTTACTGTGAGGTGCGTGTTAATTGAAGTTGGGTTTGTATAGATGGCTATTATTTATTTGTTTGAAGTTAAGCACAAAGTTACACCATGGGCTGTCTATGCTCTGCCCACCACGGGTATCAAAACCCTGTTTTTAGCGTTGTACATCCGCAGGCATACCGCTGTGCCATTGGCTATTAATTTTTTCCGTAATTATTTACTATGTTAAGAAAGTGATTATTCATGTTAGGTTCGACTGGTATTTTAAAGGTTTTTTTTTTGTAGCTGTTCTTTAAAAAAAGCTCTTCCTTTCTGTTTATTTGTATATTATTATTGTGTTTGAGTGTTGGATATGATTGTATGTTTGTTCTCTTATTTTTAGTATACTTTTTACATATTTTTATAACTTTTACGGATCTGTTTTTGCGTTTAATTGTGGACAGTAGTTTTTCCCAGTGTTGTGATTTTAATTGTTATATTTCATTTCTGATTTGGTTTTTTAGTGTATTGATTTTAATTTTCGTTTGGTGATCTATTACACATGCCTGCGATGGTTTTATTGTCTTGATATTTTTACATGTTCTACGGTAATTCCTGTACGCTGAATCCGAAAATTATATCCATTTTTCTCCATCACGTACAGGTATTTCACAGAATGTCCTAACGCAATACATAAAAGAAAGACCACAACACGTAGATTTGAGACAAAAAGACGCAGATTTCACAAAAAAATTCAGGATGAATGAGGATGCATATTCGTTTGACATCAATTTTCTTCCTTTTACGTTTAATTCTTCTTGTATTTCATGTTTGAGCTTTGCTTGTTGGAGAGGTTCGTTTAATTCTCTTGTATTTTATGTTTGGTCTTTGCTTGTTGTAGAGGTTCGTTTAATTATTCTTGTTTGGTCTTTCCTTGTTGTAGAGGTTCGTTTAATTCTCTTGTATTTCTTGTTTGGTCTTTGCTTGTTGTAGAGGTTCGTTTTGAAGAAGTACGTTTAATTCTTCTTGATGCTTTAGCCAGTTAGCTTTTTTGTAGTTTTTTCTCAGAATTTTGATACGAGATCAAAGACACCCCAGATCGATTTCTACGTCTTCACTCACAATGGATGATATAAAAGATGGAGGAACAGATGTGGATCACATATAGAGATCCAGTATGTCACTGGTATGATGACAATTAATGATATGTGTTGTATCATTTAGTAAAAACGTGTCTCTATCTTCCATAAAATCCAGAAGACGTCTGCCATTTGTACTTGTTACTGTAGAGCCAAAACTGATGTTTATGCTGTTCAAATCTCCAATAATTATGTATTTATTGTTGTGTGATTTAATAATATTTAGAAGTTGTAGATCAAGCGATGGGATTGGAGAGTTGTAAATTCCTGCTATTGTTGTTGTTTGATTATTATGCTGTAGGATGTTGCATACTATATTTTCATTTGTAGAGTTAAAATATATTGTATTTACAGAAAGTTTTTTGTGTGTAATAGCATGATGTCTTATTTAGGTTTATCATTCCGAAGTATGTGACAGACTGGTATAAATCAATGAAGATTATATAAACTAAAGTATGATTTGTGATACCTTCGATCTCGTGTGAATCTGTTCTTCCATAAGTTTTACAGATATCCTCCTTCCGTGTAATGTTATGAAGGTAAGTTGTACAGAATATCCTCCTTCCATGTAATGTTGTGCAGCTAAGTTGTACAGAATATCCTCCTTCCATGTAATGTTGTGCAGCTAAGTTGTACAGACTATCCTCCTTCCATGTAATGTTGTGAAGGTAAGTCGTACAGACTATCCTCCTTCC